TATTGATTGAAGTTTCAAGGCTTGAAACTTCAGCAAAGACAGATGCGTCAAGTGACCAGAAAAAAACAATTCAAGCAAATATGGTTTGACTTGTAGCTAGCATTTGCCATTTCAGACCAAAAGTTATGTTTTTATACCTTAAGGACAAATAGGACAAAAAGCAGTTAATACATTAGAGGATTGAAATTAAGGGTCTTTAACCATTTTCAACAAATATATTTTTTAAAGATTTTATTTATTTATTCATGAGAGACACAGGCAGAGGGAAAAGCAGAGGGAGAAGCAGGGGGCCCGACGTGGGACTCATCCTAGGTCTGAAGGCGGAGCTAAACCCTGACAAGTACTTTCAAACAGCCTGTGTTGGGTAGGTGGAGGCATAGCCCCAAAGTGATGCTTTCCGTTGGCTCCAGCTCTCAGAGAACATAGGAGAAACTTATCACTGGGAAGATTTCCGTAGTTGCACTAGCTTTTCTAACTAGACATGATTCCAATCTTGCCTAGTCTATGCCAGGCTTCGCCTCCACAGCCTGGAAAGAAACTTTGCTGCCTAGGAATTCTTCTACACTTGTCTGGCAAACTTTGTGGGGACAGGGCGGGGCTGTAAGGAGAGGGTACTTGAAATTCCTTTGTGTTAATTGTTAAGTGGAAGTTATAACGTTTGGGTCCTTCTTCATTCCCTCCCTCTTCTCCCCTGCCATTTTCAATTAGAGGATGTAAACATCTCTTTGGGAGAGAAACACGGTGATAGGATAAAATTGGAAGGCTCTCCCCCTTGTCCTGTCCTGCCCCAGTTCTCCTCTCATTCTCCGTCCTCTTTCCCCTTCTCCAAGAAAGGCTGCGTTAGTTGTGCGCCCTTCCGATACACTGCTCAGGCCCCAGGCCTCCCTTTAAGCCATATCGATGCCTGCATTTGCAGTGAACTAGTCGTAGGGACTAGTTCGCAGTTTCCTACGCGGCCTCGGGCGGGACACTTCGTCAGGGCTTGCCTCGGTGGCCTGGAGCCTTCCAGCTCCGCATTTCTGCCTGATGCACTCCTTTTTTTTTTTTTTTTTTTTTTGCCGCTCTCCAGACACAAAGGCCCTCTCTGAAGGCAGCGTTAACGCTCTTGAGTTAGAATGCTTCTCGACATGAACGGCAAATTACTACTCTCAGGGGATACCTTGGGGGTAGTTTTGGTCTTTGAGACATCCATTGCCCTATATTTGCCAACATCCAATAGAAAGCAGAAAGCGCCTGCCCTCACACCGGGGGATTTGGCGAAGTGGGGAGGAGGACAACCATAGACTCTAGCAGTTTCGCAGCTCCGTCCTCAGCCTCTAGTTCCTCCACTTCCGCAGCCTTCACGGTAATCCCCAGGCTCAAGAGTCCAGGGCCAGGATTTTAGAGAATAGGGAAACTTCCTTGCTTAAAGGGCGCCACATTCGCCTAATCAGAGACGGTCAGTTGCACAAAAAAATCTGTGGGACGGTCCTGTCCTGGGTTCGATTCCCCCAGGTGCTGTGGGTCCGGGCTTGATGGACCCGGGCTTGGTGGGTCTTAGTGCCAAGTAAAGGCTGGGTCTCAGAAGCTTGATTTTCTGGAGGTCAGTGACCAGGAATCTCAAAATGAATTCTTTGCATAGTCTTTCACTTTCGTGAATGGGTTCAGGCAAAGTCGTTAATTTTGGAGCGCTGTGTCCCGAGTTGCCCGCTAAGTTAGGTCCTGAATGCCTAAGCTAAGCAGAGTGGAAGTGGTAAACCAGGGTACAGTTAAGATTCTTGCGGGCCATGGAGCCAGTAGTTCCATCATCCTCCCCACAAAGTTAATGGTGTTTGTGGTTTCCCCGCTGATAGGCAATGAAGTCAACATTCTCCCCACATGGTGGCTCCCTTTACTAAAGTTGAGTAGCGAATTTGTACAAGAAGTCTTGGAAATTTTCAAATATTTCTACAGATTGAACTCATTTCAGAATTCGCGTGGGAGAGGAGTAAGGATTTTAATCGGGTTCACCTTTGACGTGAAGCAAGGCGGAAGGCAGGAAAGTCACAGTGGGTAATAGCTTTGGGAGCTTTGGTAAGAAAGATGTCTCTGCTTCATTATCTGGTGGGCCGTGTTCACCGCAGGCTCTTTGTATGCGAATTTACTCCAGAGGCATAGCTAAACAGCACACATGCATGTAAACATTCCAACATAAATAGGCGAACATATGCACTGGAGACAAAGAGATACATTCCCACATAGATGTGGTTCATAGCTTTATTGCAGGCAGGCAAACTGAAGCATCCCCAGGAATAAACTAAGAAGAAGCACTTGGCTTCTGGACCTTCATGGTCAGGAAATGAGCAAACTTTGTTTTCTTGAAGGAAATATTAAATCTTAAATAAGAAAGTAGGAAAAACAGGGATCCCTGGGTGGCTCAGCGGTTTAGTGCCTGCCTTTGGCCCAGGGCGTGATCCTGGAGTCCCGGGATCGAGTCCCATGTTGGGCTCCTGGCATGGAGCCTGTTTCTCCCTCTGCTGTGCCTCGGCCTCTCTCTCTCTATGTCTATCATAAATAAATAAATCTTTTTTTAAAAAAAAGAAAGTAGGAAAAACATTCTGAATAAGAAGCATAATTTTGTCTTAGAAAAAGCACACAGAACTAATATAGTTTATTTAAATGTTAGCTCCAAATTATAATAGGAAATATTCCTACTAAACTGCCATTTCCTCTAAGTTTTGTTTAGGATCCAAATAATTAAAATGCACAGTAATGGTTATTGATGGCTCTATTTCCTTTGAGCAATAAAAAGAAAAAAGACTTGATTTTCTCTTACTGGAGTAGAAACTTAGGAATCTTCTTAAATCACCCAGGGGCTTGAAAGCCTCCGGGTGGCTGTAGTCTTCTCTTATTGCTTTCCTCTTCCCACGTCATTTTCAGCTAAAAAAAAATTTAACGGTTCCCAATGGAGGGATTCCCGTTAGAAACCCTCAGCAAGTGAACTTGTACTGGGAATCCTCATGCTTTCCCAGTCTGTCTGTATTTCCCCAAACAGAACTCAAGTTGCAAATACAGGGGAAAAACATATTTCTCACTCCCAAATTCTTAAAATTTCAATTTTTGTGGATAATACAATTTCACAACTTCAATCTTTAAAATCAGTAAGAGCCACAGAAAGTGTGAAGATATCCAAATAGGCCATCTAGAGATCTAAAAACCAAGACTAATAGGAAACAGAATGCTCTTTACTCAAATGTGGGCATGACTGTTCTCAGCATTAAGGGCATTCATGGACACTGCAAGGGGGGGAATGTATCTGAACAGCGGGGGAACTTGGACAGTGAATCGCCACATTAATACTCTTAGTGCCAAATCTTCAGATATAGAGGCTCTGGTGAAAAATTAAACCAATGGCAATTTTCAATGTGTGTAGTATCTGCGACCAGAGTTCAGCACTAAGAGCTTGGACAGCTCCACAGGCCACGCTCCGGAGGCAGCTTTAACTCTAATCAATCTACTCATAGCCAGACTGTCAAAGACAGCCAGACTCATTAGCGATTTACTGAAAATCCTCCAAGACTTCCCTTTAAAAACAAAACGACTTCCACATTTAATTGTCTATCTAAAAGAACATACGTAAGAAATTAGGAGATCTAAATTAAATTTATTAATAGGAGAGCTTGATGGTGCTTAATTCCAGAGACCAGAGCTCTGATTGCTGGGGCTTGATGAAAAGTAAAGAGAAATTGTAGGGCCATAATCAAAAACATGACTTTTGCCACCCTCGAAATTCTATGAATTCTTTACCCATCCCTGAAAAATGGGCAAAACTGAAAACCACCAAAATAATTGCACTTCTTAAAAATTGGATTGTATGAGTGAAAGGTGTTTATGAGAAGTCGATGACTCCGGATCTTATCATCCAAGAGGACAGCACAGAATAGTTAATATGTTCCTTGAGGGACTAGGATGCTGACGTCTTTTTCTGATACCCGATCATTACGTGACTGAAAAAAAAAAAGGAAGTCATTCCATGAATAAAAATCGGAGCGCAACAGTGCAACAAAATATTCTGTACTTAAAGGCCATAGGCAGACAGATGTTGACAAGGAAGGCTCTTCTAAAACCACCTTCAGATAGATTTCTGCTAACTGCACATATAAATAGGAGCAGAGGGCCGGTCACCTCTGTAACCACCGGCAGCAGCAGCAGCAGCAGAAGCCGCAGCTTCAGACGCAGCCAGAGGGACCTCAGAGCAGAGAAGGCGCTGCCGACTTGCACAACTGCCTGACCAGGCGGTTCCAACAGACACCAGCCGCCTCGGCCGTCTCTCTCTCTTCCTTCCTCTTCTTCTTTGATTTTCCCTCTTTTCCTTAATCACTTCTTTCTCCTGGTGGACTTAGACCACTTTATCTCCCACCCCCACTTTAGCTCCTCGCCTCCTCTTTCTTCCTTGTACATCTCTCTCCTCGCCCCCTTCTCTCGGTGTCACGCTTCCTCCTAGTTCTGTCCTCTCCAAACTTTTGAACAGAATACTGGCCTCAGCAAACAAGTCCTCCAGCTCCTCCTGCTGCTCCAGCTCTTTCCTGCGGCTTCTCAGACACTAACGCCAGACGGTGATGTCTCTTGGGTTGTGACTCCAGCGCAGAAACTTGGAGGAGCCTTTTGCCCGCCGTCCTACTTGGCAACAAACCCTCTCCGAGCAGCGGTAAGAGTTGAATGGTAAGGGGAAAATATTTTACCAAACCAAAGGACTCATTTAACTGCTGATTCTTTCACCAGCATCAGGGTACGAGTTAGCTTTCCTTGGACTAGGTCTGGCGAGTTATCGGGCACTGGGTATACACATACATATTTTTCCTAACTATAGCGAGAGGGAAGTGGCAGGGCGCCCACGGGCTATCATTAAGCGGTATTCAACACCGGGAGCCGGAGCTTCGCTCTGTCCCTCCTCCCCCAGCTCGGAGAGTTTCTTGGGGTTGGAGGGTGAAAGGCCAGGGGCGTTCTGACAGCTGCGTGCCCTCTTTTCCCTCCTGCGCAGAATGACCATGTGTAGCGGAGCGAGGCTGGCCCTCCTGGTCTATGGGATAATAATGCACAGCAGCGTCTACTGCTCACCTGCCGCCGCAGGACTCCGGTTCCCTGGAATCAGGTAGGTGCTGGCCGCCCAGGCTGAGCTGAGGCTTGGCTTCCCCCAACACTTCCTCGTGGTCTTCCTCCTGCAGTTCCGCGGTCCTGGCTACGACCGTCTCCCCACGGGCTCCCAGTACGCCGCTGTCAGCCGGGGTCGGGCCGCGGGTCCCGGGCCCTGGCCGGGTCTCCGTCTCCGCGCGAGGGCCAGGCAGGCGCCACTGCGGCTCAGCGCCCCTCCCCCAGCCCGCCGCAGCCAAGGGGCCGGGGTAGAGCCGCCGAGCTTCAGCCTGCTGGAGAAACCTCCCCTCCCCCAGCCCCGCCCGCTGGAGGGGCAGGGCCGGGCCCCGAGCTTGACTTCTTTTCCTTATTCTTAGCTGAGTTAGAACTTCCTCTCTCCCGCAGTCAGGTTGGAGGGTTGAGCGTGAAGCTCCGTGGACTTTGCTTTGTTACAGCTTGTTCTGGACTATCGGGGCGGGGTCTTCCTCTCTCTCCTCTGATCTCCGTTTCACTTCAATTCGAATTGTTTCCCCTGGAAGAGCTTTCTTTCAAGTGATACGTATTCCATCTGCAATTTGAGTCTCAGACTGTTTTGGGGAGGGGGAGTGTTGGCCGGGTATAGTTGAGGAAAAGAGATTTGAGAGAAGGAAGAACAAGAATGAGTCTGGAAGGAAAGGGGAGAAACGGATGAAACGGATGCAGGGAAAGAGGAAGAGAAAACAGGCAGGCAGGCAGGACCAGGACAATCCTGCCCGCCCGAGGCTGGAGTAACCGTGTTTTTGTTTTTTGGTTTTTTTGTTTTGTTTTCTTTTTTTTTTTTTCATAACCCTGGTTCTAATCAGTTGGCGCTGCTAGGTTCCTTACGCAGCCCCAATGTCCCGGGGCGGTCAGCTGGGGAGTGGACGCTCCGTTTGCAGCGCAGCTTCCGCGCCCCGCGGTGCACGCGGCTCCCTGCGGCGAGGAGCGCGCTTTCTGCCGGCAAAGCTGCTTCTCGCAGCCGCGCCCAAGAACCGTCGCCTTTAGGCGGGTCGCTCGCTGACCATTGATTTGGCCGGAGGCATGGGTTCTGGCTTCCACATTAGGATTCCAGCATCTAGGCACGGGGGCAGGGATGAGAGTTGCCAGAAAGGCTCAGGGAATATGGGACGCTGGGTTATAGGGGAGGTGCGTCTCTGAGGAAGGGCCGGGTGTGGGGCGAACGGAAGGATGTGTTTCCCTCGTCTTTACCTCTCCAGGGAAGGAGGAAAGGCAAGCAGGATAACGAAGTACGACTCTAAACCCTACTAGACAGCGCTACTTGCCCTGGCCGCATTCCAAGGCTCTCCGGCGGCCCCAAGAGAGGGGGTTTTGTGTTTTAGCCCACCCCTCCCCGCCCTATGTCAAGGATTGCGGCGCTCCTCTTGGCTCTAGGACCTCTGTTGACCCATTCGCTTCCCGCCGCCCCAACATCGCTAACAGTTTAGCGCCAACTGTTTATTTGGCGGACTTAAAAGTCCTATTTCACTCCCAGCAGTTTTCGAAGTCCCGTGTGCTTGGCACATCCCCCGGGCGAGTGGCACCAGAGTGCGCGGACATGCCACAGAAAGAGTGAGCCACAGCCAAACAGGCTAAGTTTAGGGGCATCTATTATTCATGTTCCTGCCAGATCCTCTCCCGCCCAAAATAGAAGTCGGAGGTTCTCCGTGACCTACATCTGCGCGGGGAAGGGCTCCCCTGGGCACGGAGGCTGGGGGGGCGGGGGGTGGCTGCCGGAGCCGGCCGCCCCACACCCCACCCATCCACCGTCCTTGGGTTTCGCTCTGGGCCTCCCGCTCCGGGTCTTCGCGTTGGGCGGCGCCTGGTCTCTGAGGACCTTTCTTTTCCCCGCCCGAGGCCGTTTGTTTGGGGTGGGGCAGGCATCAGGCCCGTAGGGGGTAGTCCTTTCCCGCGGCCGGGTGTGCGGGGTCGGCGCCCACCTCTCGGCTTCCCAGGGTCCCAGGGCGACCCTTTATCCTCTAGAGGGGAGGGATCGGAGAGTGGCTTAGAGGGATGGGGAATATCTTCCGCCTTACCTCTACCCCCTCCCCCGCCCCGGAAGAAGTGGCAGTTCTCCGTGGCGGATCTTTAGAAAGAAGGACAATCCGTGCGAGCCCCGTTCTCCGGGTCCCGGCAGAGCCAGAGAGGGACTTGCCCTGACCGCTCCTTCTGCCCCCGGCTACCCTCGCAGGCCGGAGGACGAGGCGTACGACGAGGACGGAAACCCGCTGCAGGACTTCTTCGACTCGGACCCTCCGGGCGCGGGGAGCCCCGCCTCCGCGCTGCGCGACGCCTACGCGCTCTACTACCCGGCGGAGAGGAGGTACCCCCCGCGCGGCCCCCGCGCCGGCCCGGACTGCGACCGCGGGAGGGGCGGGTGGTGGCCCACCGAGCCGGTTGTTTTTCATAAAAGCCCTCAAGCCTCGCTTCTCTCGGGCTGGTACCAGCGAGAGCGACACAGTCAGCAGCGGGACGGGCTTTGTGGACCAGAGGGTGGCGTGGGACCTAAAGGTCTCCGGCCCCAGCAGTGGCCGGGAGTGCGCGCCCCGGCCAACCCCACGCCTGCCGTTCCTGGAGGGCAGTAGGCACTCTCCGTTCCCAGCAGGCAGTCGCGGGAACATCACAAAAAAGTTCTGCGCGAGTTCTGTGCCCCCGGAGGGCGCGGGGGCGGGGGGGGGGGGCTGTCAGCCTCCCCGAGCGCCGAGGCGCGGGCGTGCGCAGCTGGGATCCTGGGACAGCCTCTGGGGACCGAGTCAGTGACCCCGGGCGCTCGCTTTGCCTCCCCGTTAGAGATGTCGCCCAAGGGATCCTTAACAAGGCCTACCGCAAAGTCCTGGACCAGCTGTCCGCCAGGAAATACCTGCAGACGCTCGTGGCCAAGGGCCTGGGGTAAGAGTTCGCGAAGGAGTTAAGCGGCGTCGCGGGGCGCGCGCACTGCGGGTGGGGGTCTGCGAGCGCGCGGCGTGGGCGGCCCCGCTCCTGCGTCCGTGCGTGCGCGTGGGTTCGAGGGGGCGGCCGCGCCCCGGGTCTGCGCCCCCCGCCCGCCGCCACCCGCCGAGGTTCCCTTGTAGCCGCTCAAGTTGGGCGACACCGTTCTGGGCGGCGAGATGCAAGGAGAGGGCCGAGAAACCCTGGAGGTTGATCCGTTTTGAATTAAAACAAAACAAAACAAAAAACCCCCAAAGAGAAACCAAATAGCCTCTTTCTCCCCCGCCGCCCCCGCCCCCGAGTCATTGAAAACCTTGCAGCTTCGCGGGACGATTTGCTTTGATTTACTGTAAGCCTTTTTTTCCCCCCTTAAACAACCATTTCTTTTACTGTAAATTCAAGTCGAAACTAACAAATCCTCAGATGTGGGCAGTTAGGGGAACCGTTTTTGCGCGTGCCAGACAGACTCGGGGCACAGGGCTTACGTGGAACCTCTCTCCGCGGAAGGCAACATTTTAGTAAAGCTCAGGGGGAAACAGATTACATTTTTCGCAATGAATAATTCATGCGACGAAAAGTCTTGCCTGCAGCCTGTCGACTTATATTATTATCATCACGTTTTTCGACTTAGCGTGCGCAAGGGGAGGAGTGCCCCTGCCTGACCAGGGATTGCGGGATCGGTGTAAAACTTCCCAGGCAGCCGCCAGCGTGGCACGTGGGGCTCCCGGGTTATTTTCTTTGCACGTGGGGGCTGGGGATGGTGAGAGGAACAGTTAGGACAATTGAGCGCAAAAGCACGGATGGTCAAATCTCAACGGGCAGCATTTGGAGACAGGGCAGGCGTGCATGGCGAGCTCTGCGCCCGGGCCTCTTCCCGGGCCCCTTCTGGAAGGATTTAGTGCCAGGAAGCCCTGGGAGGGGAGGGCGGGATGAGGGTTTCCATCACGGCCCCCCCACCCCCACCCCGCAGCTGCTTGCTGGCAGAGGAAGGCGGCGCGGTGGGCACGGAGACCCTGCCTTCCCCGAGGGCTCCCGCGTGGGTTGGGGCCCCTTTGCTCCCCGCTGCTATTGAACCTGTGTCTCCCGCCCCGCCACCCTCTTCCCGACCCCTGTCCTTGCAGTGGGAACCTAGGCGGCGGCGCGGAGGACGACTCGGAGCCTCTCTCCAAGCGCCACTCAGACGGAATCTTCACGGACAGCTACAGCCGCTACAGGAAACAAATGGCTGTCAAGAAATACTTGGCGGCCGTCCTAGGGAAAAGGTATAAACAGAGGGTTAAAAACAAAGGACGCCGAATAGCGTATTTGTAGCGATGAGTTACCAGCCACCTTGTGTATACACAGTCCTGACACAATGAAAAGTCACTTTCCCAACTGACTGAACAGTCACCGCTCATGTGTTCTATCCAAACATGTATTTATGTATGAAGTAAAGCCATTAAATGAATATTTTGATAATAATATTGTTTTTTCTTTTTACAAAGCACTAGAGAATGCACAGATATACTTTGTGGACCAATTATTGATATACATATATATATATACACATTACAGATATATATATTAAGAATTATATATAGGTATAATAGACAGCAGTTCATACAAAGTGTGCACAAGGATTGAAAATTCGCCTGAGCTGTTTATGTTTTTATATAAAATAAATAGAAAAACAGACAATCATTGTTTTGAATATTACTCCTATTTTTGTAAAATGGAATTAAAAGGATAGTATTTTTATCCACGACAGGCCTGAAGATATTAATAATGACCATTTGCTACTGTACATAATGATGCCCTGCTCCAGGGAGATTTGGAGGTAATGATTTGGGAGAATTGCTGAAGGGCATTCTTTCCTCGGGAGTCTCTGGGGCAGGCTGCCACAGTCCCAGCTGAACCCAGCTAGGCACTGTCCCCCTTTGTCCCCCTCGCTGGGTGGCAATTCCAGTACTTCTGCTTTCTTTGATTCTACTTTTATGTGTACTTGTCTCTCTTCAGACTCTCAGCCCAGAAGGAAATTCTCCTGATAAAAACAACAGCTCAGTCCAAATTGTGCTTCTCTCCAGAATTCACACCACTCCCTGGGGTAAATGTTGGGAAGGGGGACGTACAGAGAAGGGAGACTCGGGTAGAAATCTCCCTTCTCTGTACTTCCAGGAAACTCAGTGTCCCAAGGTTAGGACAACTGGACCAGAGTGAAGGAAATGCAGGTATATTGGAAGAGGTAGAGCATAAGGCAGTCAGAGGAGGACCCCAGAGAGGGACCGGTTTGGAGCTGCCCCAGGCCTGGGATGCTGAGGGTAAGCGGAGTCCCACTCTAGGTCCCCTGCCTGACTGACTTTGGGCGCTGGATATTGGAAATGGATGCAAAGTACAATGTGTTTTTCTCCAGTGCTGCCAATGCTTCTCATCTTGTGATATGACCAGGATGCCTCCCTTTGAACCCGGCTCTGTAGGAGCCACTCGTTTGTTTTGTGATTCTCTGAAGACTCTTTCCCACCCTCTTGCACTGTTGAAAGTACCGTTTACCATTTTTCATTCGTTTCTCTTAAACCTGTGAATGCTACTTACTTTTTTTGTTGTTATGCAAGCACTTATTGTAAAGTTTAGGAACCCCTGTGTAGTTACCACTAAGTAATTATGGACTAAATATGAACCTTTTGTTTCTTGTTTATTGAGTTTGTAGGTAAAATGTATTTTTCTACATTATGGCTTATTGCTTAGTAAAATTTATTTCATAAAACCAACCTTTGTCATATTAGAATGTGTAGTGTTCACATGTTGCTCAGTTTTACTAACCGATAAATCATTTAAACCTCATCTCCAAATGTATGAGTACTATCTTATATTTGTGGTCTAGAGTGAGGTAAGCAAGCTCCAACAGACCCCGACAACCTCCCCCTTGTATCCTGTCTTGGCTACAGAAAGCATGTCTGTCTGTTTCCTACCAGTTTCTTGAACCTGTGAATAATCTCTATAAACAAGAACCTTCACCCAGCAACCAGATCAAGCTACAACAGGCAAACCAGCCAAACTCCCAAAATTCAGGCACAAATTCTTTTGGAAAAAAAGAGAACAAGAAAAGATTAAACATTAGCTTGTAAAGTTTAAAGGACCTTTCCTTTTCCTTTATGGATTTGATTCAGTATGAAGTCATAAATCAAAGAAAACAGAATTGGATTTGCATTCCCAAGCGGGATGGATGCTGCCAGGAGATCACATTGCAGTGAAAGCACAGAGGCATTCGATCTATGCCTGAGTCCTGTGTACGGGATCAATCTTTCTTTAATTCTGCAGTCTCCTCAGGCAATGTGACACGGGATGCAGTTTGCAGCTTTAGTGCCTTTCTTCGCCTTTTAAATCGCCACGAATCACAGATGGCTATTTAGTGGCCCTACAATGCTGCAACACATCGGCTTGCATTTTAGTCTTAATTATTTGTTTCTTGGGTAATGGGCAGAGTTTTCTGTATTTGTGTCAGCTGTTAGTGGTGAAATAGGGCTCTAGTTAACCTTTTATTTATGAAGTCTAATTTAGTGTTCCCGTGGCTAGTTGCAAGCATTTACAGAGATCACCCAGTTTAATCTTTTGTATACTTTTTAGAAATGCCAAGAGCCTTACTAACCTGGAGCAGATTTATGATATAGTGATAATTTAGGTAGATGTTAGTCTTGGAGCTCTTATTTTGTGTGCAACTGATTATAAAAACATCTTAACCAAGTATTATTACACACATGATATCTATAACTAGGACTTTGATAACTGTTATATAAAGTGTGTAAAATTTGTATGAATAAATTTTTGTAAACAATGCAACCTCGTCTAATGTTTGGAGAAAAAAAGACATTTAGGAAATAACTAAAATCTCTTAAAGGATTATATTTTCTTTAGCAACCATAGATCTTTCATGTCTGGACTATAAGCATCCATGTATTTTCATAAACTGTACTTTAATATCTGCTTGATGTGTTAACTGAATTCAACTAAAAATTTAAAGTAGCTACTCAGATGGAGATGGCTAAGAAGATATTAAGTTCATAAATAGGCATGGATGTTGGAACACTTATAGGATGCACAATTTAGATAAATTTCCATCCCCTAGTGTATATATACATTGCTCAGTATTCAGAAAGTTACTATTGATTGGTGGGAGATAATACCTGGGTATATGCTTCTAAAATATCAGTCTAACATGTTCTTTCACAAGTAACTCTGCAGACTAAATTGGTCTCCATAAAATTCTGCATAAAAATGACTTAATCAGTTTTGGAGGTTTTAAAATATATTTGGAGATCTACAAACAACTATCTCTGATTAATGTGCTTTGAGTGGAAAGAAAAAGAACATGAGCAAGCAAAGAGTTAATTAAATACTTTAAAAGAAAATGTATTTTGAAAGCTAGCACAAAATGTGAACAGTCATTTGTGGATTCTTTGTTTTATTAATTGATATTAACAAACTTTAAAGTGAAGCCTTCATATGAAATTCCCATGAATTTCTCAGTTGTGTTAATTTTGGAGCCCTTGACGATTTCTGGGCTTAAAAAATGTATTGAAAGTCATTTATAATAAATCAAATACCATTTAATTTAAATTGCCAGATTTTCATCCTAAAAATTAATGGATTCAATTAATAAATCAATAAATATGTCACAGTAGTATTAAAGAATGAGCAAAGATCAGCAAGGATTCAAAAACTGTCTTTAGAACTTAGATCAGTATTTCAGGCCCAGAATCATGTAGGGAGGAGCTTATGATCTAGAGATCTCATTTGTAGTAAATTTAAAAAATTAATAGAGTACAATTCATATTTATATTGAATTTTTTGAATAGGCTTTTACTTCTCCATCTTTAACTGCCTACAATGAGCTGCTGGTGTGGTAAATGGAAGAATGAAGAAAAATAATTTATTTGGTTGGGAGCTAATGACTTGTCAAGAAAGTAGAGATAAATTCCAGATTGGCCGACTTTAAGTGAAGTTCATGTATATAGCAACTTGGTATGTTCTCTTATGTGGGATAGATCAAATGATGATTTTTCGTTGGAAGGCTTGATATATTTAGATAGCCAAGAAGTGTGCCTTATTGCTATTAGGGCTGGGAATATATTGATTCAATACAATAAATATTTATTGAACACCTAAAACCAGGCACATTGGTTGAGAGAGCTTAACTAACACCTGGGAGTTAAGGTAGTATTTTCCCAAAGAATATTCTTCTGCTACAAGATTGTTGTTAATAATGTAGATTGTGGGCCTCCACCAGAACAAGTAAATGTGTTTTAAATAAAAACCCAGATTAATGGGCCCTACATTTTTGTTTTGTTTTTTTTTTTTAAGATTTTATTTATTTATGAGAGACAGAGAGAGAGAGAGAGAGAGAGAGAGGCAGAGACCCAGGCAGAGGGAGAAGCAGGCTCCATGCAGGGAGCCCGATGTGGGACTTGGTCCCAGGACTCCGGGATCACACCCTGAGCAGAAAGAAGGCAGATGCTCAACCACTGAGCCGCCCAGGCATCCCAATGGGCCCTAAGTTTGAGACCACTTATATTGGTATGCCTACAAGTGTGCTGGGACTGGATGGGTTTTTTTCCATGTTAAATAAGCGACAAGTCATGCTACCTGGACACAGTAATAAATATGTCAATAAGCTGTATTCTCCTAGGATGGACATTAGTTTCTTTAAAAAATTACAGTATTTCCTTTAGTTAGCATTATTTTACATGTATGTTCCAGTTGGATATCTCTATCAAAGGGGCTCCTGGAAGGAGAGTGATCCTATAAGTAGAGTCCAATCACATGACTGAGAGATGAATGAAGTTCCTGAGAGAAACTGGACAGCTGGCTGGCAGTAATTCTGCAGATTCAGAAGTCCACTTCCGATTGTATCAGATCCAGATTTGGCTTGAATGTATCCCCAGCTGTTTACAGTAGGATTTCAGATGAATGTCCTGTTATGACCTCAGACTCAACCCTACTGTTCACGCTGTTACAAGATTGGGAACCAAGATCAAGTCTGAACTCTTCTCTTTCATTGCAACCCTTTTGACGAAGGGAGGTTCCTACTTCTCTTGTTGCTTCACTTTGGTTTATAACTGGTCAGCTCAGGGTAGTCGTTCTCACTGTTCCCCAGTTCAATCCTTCCTCTTTATTTTTTAAAAAATTTTTGTAAAGATTTTATTTATTCATAGAGATGCAGAGAGAGAGAGAGAAAGAGAGAGGCAGAGACACAGGTAGAGGGAGAAGCAGGCTCCATGCAGAGAGCCTGACGTGGGACTCCATCCAGGGTCTCCAGGATCACGTCCTGGGCTGCAGGCAGCAGCTAAACCGCTGCGCCACCGCCACCGGGGCTGCCCTCAATCCTTCCTCTTTAGAAGGACAGATTCACATCAGTCTTTGAAATGCTAATGCTCCTTTTCATCTCC